AACGATGCCAAGACAGGTGAAATTGTCATTATTTAGTATGGTTATGACGACTCGCTAAGAGGAATTAACGTTATGAGGTTTACGGAAAACCATTTTTTTTACAGGCAACATCGGGTTGTCTGGGAACATTCTCTTTACATGCTCTTACATTCTCTCTACATTCTCTTTACCTTTTTAGTCAAATAAACAATAACATACATGCATCAATACAAGATCTAACACAAACACACTAAACAGTTTTCAGAAAATATTGGATTTTCTGATGGTTTTCAAAGTTATACAAATCATTTTCACAAACATGCTTATGAACTCACCAACATTTTTATGTTGACCATTTTCAAAATAACTTGTATTCTCAGGAAACCGTTGAAGTAGGATGAACGAAACAAACTAATGGATATTGTATGATATTCTGTTTCATCATACTCTTACTATTTTGGCATGTAATATTCAAACACAATACTTGATGTAAACAATGAATGTTGTTATATTACATGTGTTATGATGATGATGTTATGTTTCAATATATTCACTGTAATGATATTTCAAGATGAAGTCACGCACAAGCCCCCAGACGTTTCCGCCGTCTGGTTCGGGGGTGTGACAGATATTGATAAACATGAAAGGCCTATAAGAGCGTAATGATGGTGATAGTATTGTAATGCTTAGATGCATGGCTTTTAGTGATTATGAAATAGTTGTATTGCAGTTGGGTTCAAGATAGAACGATGCCAAGAGAATAACTGTCCTGATGATACTTAATCATATTGACCATACTTTTTATGTGGAATGGATTTGTTTGGTCAAAAGTAATTGTGATATAATGAAGTAATGACATTATAAGAGGTAAGGTAATTTCCTGTAGTTTGTGTAAAAAACAAGTTCATGAGTATGACCTTTAAGAGTAAATTGGGTAGTTTGCTTAAGTGATAAATAATGTTTTGAAAAAGGATGTAGTTATAATATACTAGGGATATTAAACCTAGTAAAATGAGTGTCAATCAGGAAAAGTATTATTTCGTGATGAAATACTGCATAAGTAATTAAATACTTTTAAATGATTTTAGGGGGGAATACAAGTATAACACAATGAAATTGTGTTAATCATTTTACATGTGAAAACAACATTCAAAAGGATTTCCTATACTCAAACTTGTTGAAAAATCTTTTAAAGCTTTTATAAACTTCTTTATATCAAATCATATTCGTCTATCTAATTACATATAAGTATGATTTAATAGACTTAGGACTATTGCTAGATACATTGACTCCTGTTCCTTGTTTGGTTGTGGGCTCGAGGTAGGATCACTAGTTCGAATGTCAGTTAAATCATAGTTATACCTATTAAATAGGTATGTGAATATTAAACCCATTTTAAGGATTATACTTAACTTAGTTGCTTAGTAAGTAATTGAGTCTTTTCTATGCATCAGTAACAGTCATACAATTAAACTAGTAAACTATAATAGGTATAGTTTAGTGGATTACTACTTATTATTTCTAGAATAATAAATCTTACATGATTCAGTTCATACATGAGTCAGTTCAAACATACTATTGTTGGAATAGTGTCTAAGGCTGCAACTATATTTGGTAAATACTTGACCCGATTGAGCATGGTCCTTTTGGGTTGCCTTCACCATAGCAACTTGATAGGATGATTTACAATGAGAGTTGAAATATTATATAGTATAATATTATTATTTGATTAATATAAGTCATAAATTAATTAGGAATTAATTTGGTGACTTAAAGAGATTAATTAAATAGAAGGGCTTAAACTGTCAAAGGTGTGATAGTTATACTTTAGGCTATAATTCCTTATGGATAATATGGTGGACGATTTTATGGCTTAGGATAGACCTAAAATCGTCCAAAGGGTTATCATGAAGGGATTAGGATTGCTTAGGGCTTAAGTTATCCAATTAGGGTTTAAAGGTAAAACCCTAGGAGCTTTACAAGTATAAATAGACCCTAGGGGTCATGGAAATCGGCACCCTTATCAGTAAGGAAACCCTGGCCGATTTCAAAGTCATTCCCTACTCTCTCAAATCATCCTCTTGCTAGTTGGTGTTTGTAAGCCATTAGAGGAGTGACAATTGTGACTCTAAAGCTCCAAGAACAAGAATATCAAACAAGTGATTCAAGGTAAACTTATAACTCTGATTTCTCAATGTTATTATGCTAGAATAACTATTATAAGTCTTGGATTCATGCATGTTCAATTAGAGAAACCTAGATCCAAGCATTAGAGTTTGTATGTGCATATAGGAATGTTCATATGGCCAAAACCCATCAGTGGTATCAGAGCCTAGATTGGTTTCTATTGAATTGATGCATTGGTTGCTTGTTTGATGCTTGCAAATTTTGATTTTTGTGTTTCTGCCTGATGGACTCGGCGAGTCCCATAGTGGACTCGGCGAGTAGGCTAGACTTGGCGAGTCAAAGCGTCAGGAAGTGATAACTTCGGGATTTCTTGTTGTTTATCTTTAAGATACTTGCCTTTTTCATATTAGATCAATATAAATCCGATTTTATGATATATTTGAGTATATCCTTGACCTGATTGAAGATATTTATCAATTAATTAAATATTAGTTTTCTTATGTGATAATTGACTAATTATTTTAATTAAATTGGTAAATTGTTTTGCAAGAAATAATTAAATAAATCTAATATGGATAATTATGTGATTAAATGTTAATTTAAATTATTTGTTATTTGATCCTCTATGTTTTGAAAAGTTTAAAACCTACCCTCAAGTTTTGAAATTTTTGTTTTGTGATTAAATGTTTAATTTGGACAATTTAAAATTTCAAACCCTAGAATTTTACAAGCTTAAAATTCAACCCTATACTAATATAATATTACAAGATTAATATATATATATATATATATATATATATATATATATATATATATATATATATATATATATGCATAACTAAAATGCTAGTCTTACCGTTAGTAGGCCTCATTCACGAAGCCAGTCTATAAGGTGGGTATAAGGTTGCTGCCTATAAAATGGCGCTTAATGGGTGTACACTCACACCCACCGCTTGCTTGATCGGTGGAGGGTCGTTAGCCGAACGGGTAGGATAGGGCAACCTCATCTCCTCATTAAAAGTATAATATGAAATACAAAGTAACTACATGTTTTTTCAAAATTCCCTATCCTAGTTACTTTAGGAAAAGTGAATTGATGCAATCCCATGAAATTACACTTTGCACCCTTGCTAAGAAGTTAGTGGAGCGTGTGTGATTTACCGGCACACTAATTTGTTCGAAGCAAAGGATGGCAAATGGTGATTCATTGTTTATCATAGTTCGATGGAGTGTGTGTGGTTTACCAGCACGTCGAATAGGTGATCATTACAATGAAGGCACCATGTGAATTTGCATGGTAATTCACACCCACTTTGTGATCCTCAGTATCCAAGTCACAAACGAGAGGGGCATATCGAGATTTAAACATGCCATTGAAAAGTTCAATGAATCTCATCCAAACCTAGGAATTCTCAATACATTCACTTACCTTCAAATTGTTTGCATGTTAGATAACGGCATCGCTTTTCTAACATGTAAATATTGTTGTTGGATCCTAGCCCTAATTTTCTTATTAGGTGATAATTAGGGATCCAAATTCTAATCTATCTTTGTCCTTTATATTTGTAGATGTCGAACACGAACAACGCTGCTGCTAGCTCGTTCACATTGATGAGCCTTTGCCAAAAGGTGACTTTCGATAGAACGAACTTTAGCGAATGGATAAGATACATTCGCACGATTGCTCGCTACGAGGACAAGGAGTATGTCCTCGATGAGAAGCTCGAGAAAATCAATCCTGAAATCGCTACTCCGGCTGAAATCACTGCTTTTGAAACTCATGAGCGTGATGCAACAAAGGTTCATTGCATCATGATAGCCACTATGAACTCCGAATTCCAAAATTCCTACGAGGATATGTATCCGTACAAAATGCACCAAGACTTGTTGGAGAGATACCACCAAAACGCGAGGCAAGAGCGTTACGAGATTTTCACTAACATGATCTCCGCTAAGATGGGTCATGGTGAATCTCTAACCGTGCACCTGCATAAGATGCAAAGGTATGTCGATCATCTTCGCAAGTTAAATGTTGACTTTGGGGAAGACTTGGCAATCGACATGGTGCTTCACTCATTGCCTCCTTGTTACAACCAATTTAGGATGACCTACCACATGAACAAAGAAGCACTACTAGAAAATAGGCCTTTAATGACGCGCAAACAATGACACACACTGATAGACGACACACATTCGCACGTGCCCTAAAAATTAATGTTAGTTTTCCAAAATTTTAAGGATAGAAGACACGCATTTATGCGTGCCCAAAAAATAGTGTCTAAAAAGAAAAAAAAAAAAAGAAATGCGGAGGGTGCCTTTCGTAAAATGTGCGTCATGTAATAGTATCGCTTTATAATTTTTTAATGAAACATGCCTTTTAGGCGGGACTTAGCAAACACGGAGGAAAAAAAATCCCCAAAATTTTGGAAGACCCGCTCATTCTTTCCTATCCACTGCCGATGACCTTCATTTTCTCCCCTCTTTCTCTCTGTAAAACCTAGCAGCCGCCACCATCAGAAATATGGTTTTATGTTGGCTTCGTTCTGTGTTGTAAGAACGCGAGTCAGATCCTTCATTAATAGCTAAAGGGGGAAAATCCCCCAAAATTTTGAAGTACCCCACTCACTCTCTCCATAGATCTCCACTCGACGGATTTCAAGTCCTGTGTCCATAAAACAATTAACCTTAATAAATAAGTAAATGTGTGGTACTTTCTCAGCAAAAAGAAACCCCAACACAGATATGTAGATATCTACAGAAAAAAAAAAGATTCTAAATATATAATCAATGGTGGTTGCTCTTATGTTATCGGCTCTCAGTCCCCAATATCCAACTGAATAAAGTCTTAACCCTACTGTACTAAAAAAGGATAGAAGCATGGAAAAGAATAATCAATGGTGGTTACAGAAAGTCTTCGTACTGTCACCTACATGCGGAATAATGCTGCCACAGGTGATGGTGGCAGCAATGGGACATTCTTCAGGGTTGTTCTCCTAGTTCGTAGAGAAAAGGTATTGTTTGGAATCTGGATTTGGATATCTTCACTTGTAATTGTTTGCTTAGAACTTTAAATATCTTTCAACATTTTTTGATTTTACAGTATGATGAAGCACTTGAATATGTCAAAAGAGCAAGGAAGTGTTTGGCAACTGAGCTTGCTGCTTTGGTTAGTTTCCATTTCCAATTTCCAACATCAAACCATAAACCCTAAACCCATGTGTGTGCTGACTATGTTAAAATGTGTCTGAATTAGAAGAGGTATTCATATTTCCTTTAATCATTTTGCTACTAATTTAATGAAATTTCTGTTCTAAAGGATCATCATAATTCATATTCATGTTATTCTTGTTTGTGACAGGTCATCGATTACTGTACTCTTCTAGTTGGCAACTCTATTTCCTTAAACGTCAGGTCATCATTAACTATTCTTGGTTGCTATTCTAGTACATTCGCACATATCTACGCGAGCTACTTTCTTTAATATCAAAATTATGGTCATCATTCAGTCTCCCAGCAGCTAATCGTCCTGTTCATGGACCCCGGTAAAGTGTGCTTTTACTATATGTCTTTTGTATAATACACAGGTGTCAAAGGGCAATAATGTAATTTGACTTTCTGATCAGATCCTGCACCTAGTTGATCAACTTTGTCTGGACCTGAATGATGAGTTCAGGAGATATCTTCCTATAATTCTTCTATCTGGATATGGAAAGACTCCACATTATATGAAAGTTGATCGGGACAAATGGGCTGATGAAGATGATGATGCAGGTATGGTGATTGTTACTAATTTTGTCACCCACCATTTCTATATTTAATCATGTTATATGTATATTGTATTAAGAAGTTTAGTTAAATATGTTTTTTTAGGTCCTGCTGCTGACCTTGACATGGGAGGGGTGGATTTCTCAGTAAGAAAATAATTTCTTAAAATATTATTACTGAAGTTTCTTTCTTTTTATATCACTAATGACTTATCCTCATACAGAAATTCGGTGACGTGGGAGGCATGGGCATGCCTGACATGGGTGATTTCTCTATGGGTGACTACCGTGAAGACATATCTCATGTTTATTGTGTAGAGTGGCCCTGACATTGACATGACAACAGAGGATACATGGGGCGTCAACTACCAAGCCCTACAAGATCTGTTTGAATTACCGGAGGCAAGGATGGATGTAATAAAGTATGAGGTTGGAGTTCAAATGATTGAAATATACAATGAACAAGTCAAAGATTTGCTGGTAATTAATGGCTCCAATAGAAGATATCCTTTCAATTCTCTACCCTTCCTTCTCATGTTTATTTTTTTTTTAATTTTTTTAAACCTTGACAACCTACACGTTGGATATATGAAACAAGTCCAAACTTAATGATCTTAATGTTCCGGATGCGTCTTTGGTTTCTATTAAATGTACACAAGATGTTCTTCATCTCTTGAGAATTGGTCTTAATGTTCCGGATGCGTCTTTGGTTTCTGTTTATTGATTCTAATTTAAACAATTTTGTACTTCAATTTTGCTCCAACAACATCAGCCATTTGGTTTCTCTTTTCTCCCATTCCCATACCACCTCTAAAAAATTATGTGCTTCATTTTTTTGGTAATCAGGTGAAGTAGAACCTGGGATTGTTGAAATTCTTTGTGATGAAAAGTTAATTTGTTTCTAAACTCCTGAATTGAATCATAATTTTGCCCCTCTTCCTTTATCATGTCGTATATCCTTCTCTTTTCATTCTTATATAGTTACACATATTTGTTATAAGGGCACATAATTCTAATTTTCTATCCATAGGAAGGTTATTACATTTACATGTCATCTGTTAAAACGTGTTTGAGTGAGTGGTCCTGTGTTGTTCTATTTCTATATGTACATTTCTTATCTTGTATAACAGGCTCTTGAGTTATTATTTACAGCTTGTCTCTAAGACTAAGATATTGTTCATCCTTTAGTGTTTTTTTTTCATTTATTAATTAATTTCTCAGTTTATTCATTCCAGATAAAAGTCAGATTCGATTTCCAATTTGGTGTATCTCCCAAGATTCTGGACCCTGTATATCTAGGACACGAGTTTCCTCTTCCTCTACATTTAGCAGAATCAGGTCTCAGATAAGATGGTGTCCATTAGGGAGCACTTCCCTATGGAGTTAAGCTAATAGCATTTCCATTATTCTTTCTAATTAAAGCAAGACTGGACATTTGAGGTCATTTTTCTGCTACCCTTCTCTTCTAAGTAGTCATCCTTTCGTTGCTGTGTGTTTGTGCGTGATGTGTGTTGGCCTTCTGTTGGGTCTGGGAGGGTAAACAAGGGATCAAATTTATATATTCATGATGCTAATATTGCTGACCAGATAGAGAACCAGGATCAGTCAAATAAGAGGTGTATTCACCTGATTACATTAAGTAATCCTTTAATAGTGAAAAACTATTTACCAGTTGAAGTATCTATCATCATTGAGAGTGGCGGAGTTTCACGTAGCATGTATTGTATATGATTGTGATGTTTTTATTTATTTATTTATTTATTTTTAACTTTTTTCAGGCCCAACTAAGTGTTACACCTAGAAAGGAAGGCCGGCTAAAAGTAACTGGTGTGATTTGGAAGTTATCTGTTTCAATGGTTGGATTTTACGCTTTTGAACTGGATTTAATAAAAAAAAGAATTTCTAAAGGAAGAAGGAAAGCTAAACAGAATACAAATAAACTTGAATTTTTGGTTATCAAGGATCATACTCTCTCTCTCTCTCTCTCTCTCTCTCTCTCTCTTTTCAAATTATGCAAATTGAAACCACATTGCTAATATTAATTTTTAAATTAAATTATTTTTTCTCTTTCCAGAGTCTACCCAAACTTGTGAAATCCATGCACACAAAGGTGATAGGGTGAAAGTTCATTATCGGGTGAGTTAGTAGATACATCTACATAGCTATTTCCTTTCTTTCTCCATCCCATCCCATCCCCCCTCTTCTTTGAGTTATTATCTCTGTTTTCTGTATCACTTAATGAATGATTGTATTTGTATGTATATTTTTGAACATTCTTTTAAGCTCTCGGTTTGCAGGGGAAACTTACTGATGGAACTGTTTTCGATTCCAGCTTTGAAAGGGGTGACCCAATTGAATTCGAACTTGGTACTGGTCAGGTGATAAAAGGTATAAAACCATATGATACGACCCAATTTGATTCTTTTGAAATTAAATTCTTATATATATATATATATATATATATATATATATATATATATATATATATATATATATATATATATATATTATGGAAGTTAACAAAAATAGTGTATTCCAGGATGGGATCAGGGACTATTGGGAATGTGTGTTGGGGAGAAACATAAGTTAAAGATAACTTCAAAGCTGGGGTATAGAGACCAGGGTTCACCACCTACTATCCCAGGTACGTAATGATTCCTCCTCCTTTTTGAGCATATTTATTTTATAGGGAAAATGTGTTTTGATTTAATGGGGAAAAATATTAATAAATTGAAGAAATTAATTTTTGATAAATAGGTGGGGCTACACTTATATTTGATAAACAGTGAGCTATGAGTATGATCACAAGAATCCAGATCGTGACCTTTTAGTATGAGGGGAGAATTCTAGATTTGATACGTTAATTTTGTTCCCTAGTATCTTAAAAAACAAAACATATATGTCTTGTACATGTATTTGGGACACCATTTTAACTCCTTGTTTCACTTAAGTTGAAGTAACGAGGTTAGAGAACTTAATATTGATACTTTAAAGCAATTCAGAAAACTAAACAAAAAGACTATTGTTTTTATTTAATATGTTAATTAGATTTAATATATTATTAAACAAATCTTTTTCGAACGATAATAGCAACAAACTTGAAGAACTACCCGAGATGTTTTCTAAAGCAAAGGGAAGGAGAGTTGGTTCAAGAAAAGGTTGAGGTTAAGAAGCTTGCAAGTTTTCTATAGCAGGTTAGTAATAGTATTTCATTATTTTCTAAAGCAGGCTAGTGAACAGTCTCATGGCCCTATGATTGAACCTTCAAATGAAATCTCTAGACTTATGTTTCTGTATTGCAGGATTGGGCCAATGAACTCTGAAATCAAGCAAAGAAAGGTTGTAAAAAGCATAGAAAGCATGCAATATTAACTAACCCTTTACCTTTATCTATATCTATACTTGTTATTTTATTGATGGTTGTGTGTTGGATTGATAGTTAATGTTGGATACGATAGAGGCTGGAGAAGAACTGATGCCACATAGGATTCCGGTTGACACGTCACCTAATTAGCAACTGCACATAAAGAAGCTGGGAATTCTAGAGTGGGAATTGGGACAAGTACTAATTTATCCCCTTCTACAAATGAGTTTACTTTCTTACCCTTTTACCCTTTTACCAATGAATTTACATTATTATTCTTTTTTTACAACTGATTTTACCTTCTTACCCTTTACGGTTATCCAGGAGTTGGATGCATTTTAGATCCCATCATCTTAATCTTAACTTGGTTGACTTTGTTTATCAGTTTGTAACTTGTGGTTTGATTTGGTTTCATAATATTCATAGTTAGTTAGACTTTGTTATGGAGCTACTTTCCTAACTTGAAAGTAAACAGGTGAGTTACTTGTGTTTGAATTTGTATGATATATATATATATATATATATATATATATATATATATATATATTTATAGGAAATAAGATGGAATAAGTGGTTGTGGTTGTGTACAAATACTGGGCATATAAAATTTTATAAAATTGTAAATGTGGTGTAAGGGTAGTTCTAAATATTTGCATATGGTTTCAGGGGTTACTCAAGGAAAATGCAAATGCTAGCTAATACTGGGAATATAGAGGTGACTTTGGAGATACACCAAATGACTTAAATTTCTGCTTAAATGGTCTCATATGGCCTGATCGGACTCCTCACCCTGCTGTAAATGGTGATTACTATAATTTTTTGCTTATTATTTAGGTTTTTGTTTAGTTATTTCCAACAAAAATGTTTCCATGATGAATCTTTTGGTAGAGACAATGTATAAGAATTACTTCATTGAGCTAATTATGATGCGATCCTTTGTTTATTTGTTTTCAGAGGTCAAGTATTGCTATCAACCAATTAAAATTTTGTTCACCAATGGCGTAATTAAGGTATCAATATCATCACTCTTACTTATCTGTCTATATCATTTTCATGAAAATGTTTATGTTGCGTATTATATATTCATATGTCCAATTGTGCTTTCTATATAGCAAATGTTAACCTTGGTCTTTGCATTTTTTGTTCATAGATTACAAACACCAATTTCTTTCAAAAAACATAAGATCTAGAGTTTAATTGGGTGATTGAAGGTGATGGATGTAAACTTGATTCTGGAACTCTCGGTCTACCAACATTAGAGTTTAATTGGGTGATTGAAGGTGATGTTGGTTCTTGAAACGAGACTCAAGATATCATATTTTGGCATGGCTAGAAGCTTTGGAGGAACCGAGACTCAAGCAAAAGTAAACACACAGAGATTTGTTGGCACATAGTAAGCTAGATGATGCAATTGTATATAAATGAGTTCATTTTTTTATAACATTTACTCACTATTGGAATAATTATTTGTATTTGACATATTAGTGAAATGAATTATGTTTGTTATTTATGGTATTTTATTTTGTATTATGAGATTTTTAATGTATTATTTAATTTGAAAATTAGTAAATCTATAAATAATATTTTTTAAAAACATTTAAAATTATGATACGCAAAAATGTGTGTCATCTTCATTTATAACATGGCCTTTCTTGACAGGGGTTTTCTTGATACATATTGCGTATCATTAACACGCGCGTCGTAACGTTACGATACGCGAATGTGTGTCGTCTTCCTTTATGACAGGGCCTTCCTTGATATTCATTGCGTGTCGTAAACGCGCGTTGTAATTGCGCATCGTAAATGCGCGTCGTCTATAGACAACGCACAAGAGCGCGTCTTCTCTCTTTATGACAGGGCCTTCCTTAACGCGCATTTGCGCGTCGTCTGAGCCTTTTACGACGCACAATGAGCGTCGTAAAAGGCTGTTTTTCTAGTAGTGAAGAGGTCACCCTAAGAAAGCTCCAAGGTCTCCTTAGGGTTGCTGAGAGCAATCTCAAGGACAAGTCCGTTACACCCACTCCCAATCCACCTGCTGCTCCTGTTTTGGCCATTAGGCAAGGAAGAGGCAAGAAGAGAAAGGCTCCGTCTAAGAGCCACCGCAAGGGAAAGTCCTGAGATGGTTCCTATTCTAGCGGGACAAAAGTTGATCCCACGAAGCCTACTTCTAACCCAAAGGAGGCAGAGTGCCACCATTGCCACAAAATAGGACATTGGAAGAGAAGCTGCCCAGAGTACCTGCAAGCTATCAAGGAAGGAAAGATCAAGTCGCCTTTCGCAGGTATACATACAATTAAATCTAATGATTCATCTCATGCTATTTCTTGGGTCCTCAATACCGGCTGTGGTTACCACATTTGTTCTGAATTGCATGGACTAAGAAGAAATAGGGATGTGGATCATGGAAGAATAAATCTAATCATGGGGAACAGAAGATCGTCGCCTGTGACCAAGATTGGAGTGTATTCTCTAGTGCTTAGGAATGGTTTATCTTTAGATTTGAACAATTGTTGCTATTCGCCAGAAATGGCAAGAAACGTCATTTCATTTCATGGTTTGTTTAGACAAGGATTGAGATTTTCTTTTAATAATGAGAATGGTTCTATTTGTGCTTATCTAAATGGTGTATTATATTTTGAAGCAATACCATGTAATGGAATTTATGAAACTGTTATGATTGTAGATAACCTAGGAAATGATGTTTTATGCATGGATTCTTCCAATAGTATGGATAGAGCATCCTTGTGGCATTGTCGTCTAGGACATGTCAACAAGAAGTGCATAGCCCAACTCCAAAAGGATGGAGTGTTGGAGTCATTCGACCTTAGGGAAGATGACACGTGCAACTCGTATTTACTTGGAAAGATGACTATGTCACCCTTCACTAGTACGTGTGAAAGGGGTGAGGGTTTATTGGACCTAATACATACCGATGTATGTGGACCGTTTAGATCAACCACAAAGGATGGGAACCGCTTCTATGTGACTTTTACCGATGACTATAGTAGATATGGGTATATCTACTTAATCAATCAAAATTCAGAAACATTTGAAAAGTTCAAAGAGTTCAAGAATGAAGTGGAGAATCAATTGGGCAGGAAAATCAAGATGCTTCGATTCGATCGAGGAGCAGAGTACCTAAGTCTTGAATTCCACGATTACCTCAAGGAGTGTGGAATAGTTTCACAATTGACGCCACCCAGGACACCACAATTGAATGGTGTGGCAGAAAGGCGTAATCGAACCTTGTTGGACATGGTTCACTCTATGATGAGTCGTGCTTCAATATCTATCTCATTCTGGGGGTATGCCTTAGAGACTGGCGCCCATATCCTTAACCAAGTCCCTACTAAGAAGGTTACCAAAACACCTCACGAGATGTGGACAGGGAAACTCCCTCATTAGCACATATCAAGGTTTGGGGTTGCGAGGCCTTCGTAAGACGAGATACTCAAGACAAACTCGAACCTCGTAGTGAGCGATGTATTTTCATCAGCTACCTGTAGAAATCCTTTGGATATCTCTTCTATAGACTGAAGGACAATGTTGTCTTCGTTGCGAGGAGAGGAGTTTTCCGAGAGCGAGAACTCATAAGCCAAGGAGACAGTGGGAGGCAAATCGAGCTTGAAGAGATTTAAGAGTCGATAGATGAAGGAACCTCTACCGCTGGCACTCAACCCGGGGAGGAAACTCCGGTTGAACCAATTGACGAGTCCTTACCTCTTAGATGTTCCGGAAGAGTTAGAGTTCAACCCCAGTTATATGGTTTTCATATTACTACCGAAGGGGACACATATATTAGTGATAGTACACTAATAAATCTAGATGAACCTAATAGATATAAGGAAGCCATGGCAGGCCCGGAGTCTGCGAAGTGGAAAGAGGCAATGGACAGCGAGATCCTGTCCATGTATGACAACCAAGTTTGGAATTTGGTTGATAACGTGCCCGGACGTAAGACCGTGGGGTGCAAATGGATCTTCAAGAAGAAGACCGATGTGGATGGAAACGTACACACATAGAAGGCGCGATTGGTTGCGAAGGGTTTTACTCAAACTCCCGGAGTTGACTATGATGAAACCTTTTCACCAGTTGCGAAGATAAAATCTATTAGAGTGATGCTAGCGATTGCCGCATTTCATGATTATGAGATTTGGCAAATGGAAGTCAAAACCGCTTTCCTTAATGGGAAGTTGGCTAAGGATGTTTACATGGCTCAGCCAGAGGGTTTTGTTGATCCGAAGCATCCAAATAGAGTGTGTAAGCTTGAGAAGTCCATTTATGGACTTAAGCAAGCGTCTCGCAAATGGAATCTTTGCTTCTATGAGAAAGTCAAAGAGTTTGGATTTGTACGAAGTGAAGATGAATCATGTGTATATGTCAAAGCCAGTGGGAGTATAGTTAGCTTTCGCGTTTTGTATGTGGATGACATACTGCTCATAGGAAACGACATCACGACACTGCAGGAGATTAAGTCCTGGCTCGGGAAGTGCTTCGCTATGAAGGACCTCGGAGAGGCTTCCTATATTTTGGGAATAAGGATAGTGAGAGAACGAAGTAAGAGACTAATAGGACTTAGTCAGAACACTTACTTAGATAAGGTACTAAAACGTTTTAGTATGGAAAACTCGAAGAAGGGAGAATTACCGATACAATATAATGCCAAGTTGAGTAAGACTCAAAGTCCGAGTACTGAAGCCGAGATAGCAGAAATGAGCCGAGTACCATACGCTTCCACAGTTGGCTCAATCATGTATGCTATGACTTGTACTCACCCTGATGTAGCCTTTGCTTTAAGCATGGTTAGTAGAAATCAAGGGAACCCTGGCAAAGCCCATTGGATTGCGGTGAAGAATATCCTTAAGTACCTTCGGAGGACCAAGGAATGGTTTTTAGTCCTCGGAGGGAGTGATGACTTGAAGGTGCGATGGTATAGTGACGACAGTTTTCAGACCAAAAAGGACAACTACCGTTCGCAGTCGGGCTGGGTCTTTACCCTGAATGGAGAAGCAGTGACTTGGAAGAGTTCCAAACAAGAAACCGTAGCTGATTCAATGTGCGAATCAAAGTACATCGTAGAGAGCGAAGCGTCGAAAGAGGCAATATGGTTAAAGAACTTCATTGGTGATCTTGGAGTTGTACCTACCATAAAGGAGTCATTGGAGATTTTCTGTGATAATGAAGGAGCGGTTGCCTTGACCAAGGAACCAAGGGATCATCGTAGATCTCGACATATCGACAGAAAATATCATTTTATAAGACATCGTGTAGAAGAAGGACAACTCGTGGTGAAGAGGATATCATCAGAAGATAATCCAGCAGATCCGCTTACGAAGGGACTGAGCAGGGTTAAGCACTTGCAGCATGCTAGGAGCATTCGGCTGAAGGATGATATTATTATAGATTAGATAGTATTAGAAACGTATAATAGATAAATGTAATTAACATTTGATGATTAAATAAAGGAGCATTATTTATGAGTAATGTTACTGTATTATGTTAATTGTTTAACTATTGTTTCACTTTGCATGTTTTGACTTCCAGAATAATTGAGTTTATTAAGAATAATCGAATTATTTGAATTGTCCACAATCGTTCATATGTTGGAAGTAGGTATGAATCAAGATTGTCATGAATTGGTTTGTAGATTGTCTAAATGGTATTAGACATAGCAAAAGGTTGCTACAACGTTCATGAGTGCTTATGAACTAGTTTTGAGCATTGGAACAAACCCGCGCTTACTGGAATCACCTTATGGAATATGACAAAAGGGTGATCGCTAGACGATAATATCATATGGTCTTGAAACCTAGATATATGGTTTGTTATTTGTTAATTGGTTGTACATTGATGGTGCGAAACCGCATCAGTAACTTGATGTTATAAAACGCATTGTTGTGTATAGTTGACTAATGAATAAGTAAATGCATATAAGTCGAAGTTTATCTGTTACTTTTATCCTAAGAAGATAAAAGCGATATCTCGGCCACTTGATGATTTGATTTGACTTATGTGTCGGGCCCGGTCAGAACTAAATTGATGTGTTTGATTAAGTTCTATGTCAAATAAATCTTAAATCGAGAAACCAAATGCTAGACAATTGTTTCCATGCACTACTAGAAAAATAGCCTTTTACGACGCGCAATCCACGACGCTCAGTGATTTATGTTACGCAAAAGGGAGTGACTTTAAAATGGTGTCGTCTCTTCAAAAAATTTAAGCATTTAGGTTATGCATTATTGCGCGCCCTTAGACTAGTGTCTTAAAGAAAAAAAATCAAAAACACGGAGGGCACATGTGTGTCATCTAAGGATGTCGCTTTATAAATTTTAACGGAAACGCGCGTTCCATCCTTTAATAGCGGGGGGGGGGGGGGGGGGGGAATGAAATCCTA